AGTGAGTTCCAGGAAAGGCGCAAAGCTACACAGAGAAACCCTGTCTCGAAAAAACCAAAAAAAAAAAAAAAAAAAAAAAAAAAAAAAAAAAAAAACTGTCTCAAAAAAAAAAAAAAAAAAAAAAAAAAAAAAAAAAAAAAAAAAAAAAAAAGATCTGATGTCAATACTGACATTACAATAGAAAGTTGTTTTTTCATGCTGAATTTTCTCAAGAGTGGAGTTTCCCTTCATTCTTGTGAGAGTAAAACAGACTATTTTTCTAAACACTTCTTTAAAGTGTGTGTGTGTGTATGTGTGTGTATGTGTGTGTGTGTGTGTGTGTGTGTGTGTATGTTATTGTGTGTGTACCAATGGAGACTAGAAGAACGAATCATAGTCACTGGAGCTAGAGTTACAGACAGTTGTGAGTCACCTGAATATGGGATCTGGAAACCAAAATCCTTTGGTTTTTTTAAAAGAACAACAAGAACTCTTAACTACTGAGCCATCTCACCAGCCCATATTTGTCCAAACTCTTCTATAGGTAATGAATTATTGATATGGAAAGCATACCCTCTTCTTCTCCCTCTTACTTTCTTCTCAATAAAAGATCATAAGCATAGATATTTGAAGCAAATACAATGGCTTGTGTGTGTTTCCAGGATAGGGAATACCTTTCTACTATAAACCTGGTGACTTAGGCACCATCAAAAGTTCACGCTTTCATCTTCTCCCGGGGATTATGGTGAGGTTGATTGGGCAGGATGCTGGTTTCTGTTTGTTTGATTTTGCTTCTTTTTTTTTGTTAGCCAATTAAAACCCCACCCTATGCTCTTGGGATGCTATAAAGCTCAAAACACTCAACTATTTTCTTCTGGAAGCTCTTCTATCTTTTGTTTTATTTTTCTTCAATCTTACTCTTCATTCTCCAAACCTGGGTAGTGATGTGAGATCGGCACAGGCCAACACAGTGACAGGAAGCGTTCATTACCACTCCCTCCCCTCTTGTCCCAATCTGTGGAGATCCAGGGGAGACACACAGTCACATGCGGCAGACACACAACTCAATACCAGAGTAGCACTTCTTCTCCGTCAGTCTCACAGTGCATGCTGGCGGACAGTAGAAGGGAACTGTCACTCTCATGGGCAAATGTTTAAGATTCCTAGCCCCAATCCTGCCCACAGGAGTCTAAATCTCTCTTGGACTTTTTGAGCTAAAGGCATCCCTGAACCACAACACAACCTCCCTGGCCTCACTCTGACCTCCACCATGCCTTTTTTCTATGAGCACAATTAGCACAGAAGCATTCATACCCAGCAAGGAACCCTGCCAGGTCTAGCAGAAACACCTAGAGAAATCAGGGTATTGGTTTGTTTATCCTAACTCTTCCTTGCTCCGATGTATCCAGTCAAAGCCTATGGCAAAAACCAGATGTTGTTAATAATAATAAGTAAGAGCCACTATTATGCCCATTTTCCCAGGAGTGCAACTGAAGGATTTTCTGTGAATCTGGTAACAAATGACAAATTGCTCATGTCTATTTTCATGAAATGTTTTGACTGCTGAAGTTGTTCCATAGCAGTTCATTAAAGGACCCATAAAATATGTAAGTTTACATTTTATAAAAAGATCATCAGGAATTTCTTGGCTGATAGTCGTGCTTCTATTCGGCATCTGTTTTCTATTTTCCGAAGGCTCGCAGCAGGAGTTGTCCAACTGTATATTGAGAGCAGTTGATCTAAGCTGGATGGAAACATTGTAACTTGTTATTAAAGATTAGCAACCCACCAATGAAGCTTCTTTTGGAGGCAAGGAGCAATGTGTACGTAGCACATCTGGCTTCAAAATATTAAAAAATGATAAACACTCACCGACACAATCCATCTGTTCCCTGCATCTGCATCATTGTCCCACTTAAAAAATAGGACACGCACTGAACTTCATGCTACACAGAGCTGAAAACTTTTTTGCTCCCCAGTATCCAGGCAGGGGTGACTGATGGAGGGTGATTCTGAAGGAACGTCACACTTATCATATGCATATGTAGACGTTTTGGAAAACGAGTTAGAGACAAATTCCACAGTAAAGTGGGGTGCCCTTGATGTGAAATTGAGGCTAAAATACTGCAATTCACAGACTAATATTTTTGATAAAAGAGTGTTAGGAGTGCAGCAAAAGCAATCTTCTTTAGCACTCTTAGTAGCAGCTAGCATCTATTAAATGCTTAACCTGTGTCAGGCCTGATGCCAAACCCTTTACACGCATTACCTCAGGGAAGCCTCATAACCAGGTCCACAAGTCCACTCAGGGCGAGGAAATGGAGCTAAGCTACGCCTCTCATCCAGGTTACAGAGCTTCTTCTCGGTGACGCCATGTCCTCTCCTTGTTCAGTGCGACGGTAGGGCCCACTCTCCTGTCCCTGCTGCTAGAACACAGGAAATACCTTTAAAACTAATTTCTGTCTTCTTAGAGTTAATAGTTCTTCCCTAAAATTCATATCTCCCAATATTGAGAACACAGTTTGCAATTTGTACCTCATATACAAATTTATTATGAGATGACAATAATTATTATGAACTTTTGTTAGTATTTAGTGTGTTTTTGGGTTTTTTAACTCCTTTAACATTAACTTATTATAGTCTTAGATGGAGACAATGACTCTCTCCCCTTTCTAGAATAAAGAAAAGGCTGGGGACATAAGAATTAAACAGCTTGCTTAGATCAGTGAAGGTCTTGAGATTTTAAAACAGAAACTGACTTCAACTACTACTGACCTGAAAACTTAATATCAGTATCACTTAGGTTCTGAATGCCAAGCTAAGTGGTAGGCAAAATTTGATGGGTAAAATGTGGTTCGTTCATTTCATTTAGCATGTTTGCAAGGTTTATAGTACCATAGCATGCATCGAATTCTCAGGCTCTCTCTCTCTCTCTCTCTCTCTCTCTCTCTCTCTCTCTCTCTCTCTCCCCTCTCTCTCTCTCTGGGGTAAATAATAATATTTCATTGGGGCGGTATATGTCCATCATCTGTAGACGGGCACATGAGTTGTTTTCACTTTTTGGAGATTGTAAACATTGCTGGTACACGTGTCATACAAGCATCTATTTGAGACTTTGTTTTCATTTCTTTGGAGCATATGACTAGAAGAGGAATGGGGGAATGGCTATGTCATAGAGCCAAGATAGTAACTTCTGTTTACATGTTTAACAAATTAAATAATACTAAAATGAAACAAAAACATAGTTTTCTTTGAAGAAGTCATATTTTAGTATATAGTGAAAGGATATAAATAATATGGTATACGCTGCATTGATAATACATACAGGATGCTAATAGAATCATAAAATGCTCATTGTGGGGTCTAGGGGTCCAGGGAGACATTATACATGAAAAGTTCCTTAAGGATGAGGAGATACTCTGAAGGATGATGGTGGTGGCTCATTGGGTTGAGGAGGAAGAAGTTTCGGGTGACGAACACATGTCAAGAGGAAGAATTCTCACCAGCAGAGCTTGAAAATGTGTGTGAGCTAATCTGTGCTGCTTAACATCATGCGTCAACTGGATTGAGCCAAGGACACCTGAATACTTATCAAACATGATTTTAGCTTTGCCTGTCAGGGTATTTTTTAATGAAATTAGCATTTGAATGGATATTTCTCTCTGAGGAGTTAAAACAGACTGCTCTCCTCAGTGAACAGCTCTCATCTGGTCCCTCGAAGACCTGAGAGGACCCAAAAGGCTGATCTACTACCAGGAGAAACTGTTCTCGTGGTCTCGGACGACGATCTTTTCCTGTCTCGAGACTTGAAGAAAACACTGATTCTTTGGCGATATTAAGGCTTTGGTGGCTTCTCAACCCGGCACGTATGTGGTCAGCTCTGTTGGTTTTCAGGCCTCAGACTTGGCCGACAACTGAACCATTGGTTCCCCTGGCTCTAAGACTTGCCTACTGTAAATATGGGGATTCCTCAGCCTTAATAATATCCTTGTTTTCTTTCTTACCTATGGTGTGTCTCCAAATTCCGTTACTTCCTTAATGTTACCTCCTTCTCATGGCACCCAGTGCCCTTGGACATTTGATTGGATCTCAGCTTTATTTTCTTCTTTGTGCTGGGTATGATTCTTGGGCTTCATGCTGCGTGTGATTCTTAGGGAATGTTCTGTCAACAGAATTCCTTTCCTTTGTTCCCTTTGCTCCTTCTGCTCTGATATCCTTCCCTCACCTCTGCCTAAATCAAAATCCCTCTTCAAGCTCAATGCAGCAATGATAACTTATGGCGACAGAGAAATACAGCTTCTTTGATCTCCTCTATTTCTCTCTCTCTCACTCCCCCCATATATTTGGAAACAGACATACACACACATCCCTTTAGCCTTATGTCACTTAAAAATTCAAAAGCTTGGGCCAACCCACCATCTAGAGGGATTTGTATTGACAAAAATGTATTATAAAAAAGAAAGGAAGTTGATTACAGGGATGAGAACCCTGCTTTCTCAATTGCTACCTGCTCTTCCCATTCTTTAGAACAAGTAAATAGAAGAAATTCTCCTGCAATCACAGGACTTTCCACTTTGGAGAGAATCTTATCATTGAATGCATTTTTTTTTCTTAAAAGATGACCTTTTTTAAATTTATTTAATTTTTTTCTTTTGTTTTGTTTTGTTTTCAAGACAGGGTTTCTTTGTGTAGCTTTGCACCTTTCCTGGAACTCACTTTGTAGACCAGGCTGGACTCGAACTCACAGAGATCCACCTGCCTCTGCCTCCCGAGTGCTGGGATTAAAGGCGTGTGCCACCTCCGCCCAGCTAACATTTGTATTTTATAATTAACTTAATTTCACATATCAGCCATGGATTCCTCATTTCTACCTCCTCCCACCCTCCAGCCCTCCCCCGAATTCACTCCCCATTACCACCTCCTCCAAGGCAAGGTCTCCCCTGGGGAGTCAGCCCAGCCTGGTAGACTCAGCCGAGACAGGCCCAGTGTGGAAGCCTGTTTTCGGGTTCCTTGTGGCTTTACTCAGCAGGTCCACATAGAGGATGATTAGGGCCACAGGCCTGAGTGCAGGTGTCTGAGATGGCCTGCACTTGGCTGTGCTGGGGGAGGAGGTCTTTTGCTCCACCCCTTGGCGTCTCTATAAAAACCCTGGGGCAGAGACAGTCGGCCGTTGGAAAAGGTTCCAGGCCCTCTCGAGGCTATCCTTTATTTTCTGTTTATCTCCACAATAGTCTCCACAATAAATCCTTCTATCTAATATTTCCTGCTGCTCACACTCAAGAAAACTCTGGGGAGCTGTGGGGTTGGCAGGCAAACACCCCACAGTCCATTCCCCCCTCCCTGAACCAAGGCTGAGCAAAGTGTCTCAGCATAGGCCCCAGGCTCCAAAAAGCCAGCCCGTGCACCAAGGACAGGTCCTGGCTCCACTGCCTGAGGGCCTCCCATACAGTTCAAGCTCATCAAATGTCTCACTTATCCAGAGGTCCCAGTCCAGTTCCATGGGGGCTCCTCAGCTATTGGTTCATAGTTCATGTATTTCCACTAGTTTGGCTATTTGTCCCTGTGCTTTTTCCAATGGTCTCAATATCTCTCATTCATACAATCCCTCCTCTCTCTTGCTAACTGGACTCCCGGAGCTCCACCTGGGACTCTAAAAGAAACACTTTATAGTTGGTTTCTGAACCGGCCAATCTTCTGGGATAGCAGGGCACACTTCCTGTTTGGAACACCGACTGTGATTGGCTCATTGCTTTCTGCTGGGTCTAAACTGATGTTTCACATGAAGTCATTGTCGTGAGGTTGAAACAAGTGTCACGATGGCAATTCTTCATTCTGTTCTGTTAAATTGCTTGATAGGGTTAAGGAGAAGCCGTATCAGCCTCTTCATCCAGACCCATACTGTTTGCTTTGCAAAACTACTTGAGTATTTACCTAGAAATATGATAAAGATATTTTCCTTTGGCTTGCACAACCTCATTTCAATTTTTAATACTTGAGAATCAAAGTCAGGATTAACACAGACCTGGATTCCTAGTTTTAGGAATCCATTATCTTAGGAGTTGTCAAAATAGTAGTGTTTTCCTCTGATGATTAAAAATCTACAATGTAGAATAAATTTTAAAGCATATTTAACAAACAGAATTTCTGTTACATATTTGTCAATAATTCCACCTTGACTACATACACAATGTACAAAAATATATCTTCTTTAAAAAGTAAACCTTAGAAGCTCAAATTAAGGAGCTCACTTCAAAAGGACATTTGTACCGGAGCTATTCCTCAGGTAAAATGTCAAAAGGCAAAATAATAAATGGTCCTAGAATTACCTATGAAGGCTGTGCTTGGTATATTCCTTGAGCAGCATTATAGTTTATTATGACTAATCCTAGACCCACCCTGTGTATTAGTTCATGCTAGTACTGAGTGTCACATATCACCCTAAAGAATGATTTTCTTCTTGAGAATCCTGGTGAAGGGTTCCATTCATAGCACTGAATAAAACAAAAAACAAAGTAAAAGAGTAAGGCTCCTTTGCCTGAGCTACCTCTGAATTTGCCTTTGGAAGTGAGGATCCATTCTGGGTCCTCCCATTGGGAGGAGAACTCACCTAAATTACCACCACTGTCTACAGCAGGACACAGACTATGAGAAACTTCCTGAGTCCCCTCCTACTCGGTATGGCTTCTTTTTCCTTTTGGAGTAGAGTTCTTAGATGCTGCACTTATTCTGAATTAAGCATCTGCTATGGATTGGATCTGGAATGTTCTCTCAAAGGCCCTGTGTTGAAGGCTTGTTATCCAGAGAGATGTTAGAGTGAGGCTGTACAAACTTTAAGAAGTGGGGCTACTGACAGGTAATGGGATTGCTGGAGATGTGACCCCCTAAGGGTACTCAGAGACCAGTTCTCTCTCACTCTCTTTTGCACATTGACCAGAAGGTGAGCGGCCTTGCTCTAACACACATGTGCTGCTCACCAACACAGCAAAAGCACCAGAACCAACCAACCAGGGACGTAACCTCTGACACTATATCCAGAAAACCCTTTGCTTTTCATACGGTTGTAATCTCATATTATTCATTACAGTAACAGGAAGCTGACTAGACCACCGCCCTTTCTAAGTGAAGAAAAAAGAAAGCAATATTCAGGAAGGAAAACACATGGAGTAAGTCACCTGTAGTCCAGGAGAGCTGTCCTGCCTCCAGCTGGGGACCAGCATGCATATGTCCTGGTGACCCCTTCTGAGCTAGTGACTACACTTCTCTGCTGACTCACTCTTTTTTAAAGCACACTCACCCATAAACATACAAAGCTTCCCAAGGTGTGTTTCTAAACATAACTCCTCAAGCAAGTAAACGAAGAAGCCAGCGGTCATTCGTTAGCCTGAAAATGCAGGTAACATCACACACTTGGGTATAGGACCAAGTCAGAACTACTCTAACACATAGACCCTGTGCCCAGTAAGTTCCCCCCCAAAAGTCCTTTATCGGACCCCTCATGTTTTAATATTTCCATTGCTGTTAGAAATGAAAAGTTTTATGAATAATTTGTACTTTAAATTTTTCTTTAGTGGAAGAGTATGATGCAAATGTTTGTTGATTGTTTGGTAAAGTTGCTACTTAAATGCTTCTGAAAGTGTGTCATTTTGACATACTGCAAAATAAGAATGGAATTAGGAGTGAGGGTTTTAGTGTTATGCACTGAATTAGTATTTACTGATCTCTTTAGGAGTTTGCTTTTTTTAATCCTCTCTTCAACCTTCTTAAAATTCCTCAATGCAAAAAGAAAAAAATTAATTTTAGGTATCAATGGACAATTTGTTAAAATATTTCCTCTCCCAAACTCCATCTAAAGCTATATCATGATAAAAATGAAAATAATCAGTTTGCTTATTTTTATTATTCATAAGTGATGAATGTTGTCTTCATTAACTATGAGTGGCATTTGGTTCCAAATGCCAGTCCAGCTCTGCTTGATTTGGTGCATTGGTATTATCAAGATGTAAATGGTTGAGTCATGGAACGCATATTTCTCTACAGGAGCAGTTTGATTGCAGGAAATATCCCTTTAAGGCTATGGGATGGAGAAAAGCCATACTTCATGTGTTTCCTTCTGTACATGTTTGCCTGCTGGGTGCACTTCAAGGACCACTCTAGTGTCGCCTGTTCCAGGATTCAATCTCAGAACAGGTGGAAGCCAAATACTTTTGAATTTGTGTTAGGGAGATTAATTTTTCCCAGCTCAGAAAAGCACTAGAGTATTTTTCGTTGCTCACTTCCTCTTCCTGTTAGTACACAATGCGCCATGTCTCTGCTCTTTATGCCATTCGTTGGCATTATCAGTGTCAGCCGCCCTGTGCCAATCCACTTCAAAGGGCAATGTGGAGCATTTGAGTATTTCAGTATTCCGTTTGGAGGTAGAGCTTAGTAGTCTAAGGAACACTGGATGTATCTTAGAGAAGATAGTGCTTGCCCAGAAACAAAAATATAGCAGATCAATTGGAATCTACAGCAAGATTTCTTGTCAGACGGTCTTTGGACCACCATCCCACAAATAATGACCTGGAGACTTATTATTAATTATGAAAGCTTGGCCTTAACTTAGGCATTTTCCCAACTAGCTCTTATAACTTAATTAACCCATATTTTCTTAATCTACATTCTGCCACGTGCCTCGGTTACCTCTTCTTAGTCAGGCACATCTGGCTTGCTCCAAGTCTGCTGGCAAAACCGCATGCCTAGATTCCTCCTCCCAGTTGCTCTTTCTCTGCGCGGAAGTCCTGCTTATTCTCTCCTGCCTAGCTATTGGCCATTTAGCTCTTTATTAAGCCAATCAACAGGCACCTTAAGCAGCGATATATCTTTGCAGTGTAAATAATATTGTATAACAGGAGGGGTCCAATTAGTGATTCCACCTGACAAAGACAGGCTTTCTTCATTTATGGTATAGTAGACGCTTAGTGAACCATGGTCAGATGAAACATCGTGTGATAGTTATAAACATAGAGTAAAAGCAGCAACTTCTAGAAATTACGTTAGAAAATATTAGAACTGAGAGCAATGCAAGTGGGCACAGGAAGTGCCTGACCCTTCACTGGATGCCAAGTATGGGAGCTGTTTAAGAGGGATGCAAATTATCAGAT